TAGCTATGCTAAGAAACCAGATGACAACTTCAGCTCGCATGTCGTGAGATGTCGTGAGAAGAATTGGGCGATGGTCATAGCATGTTATTTGGGAATAGAACGGGAAGTTGGAGCGTGTACCGAGTGCAAGAATTGTCAAACAGTGAAAAAGGTGATGGATACGATAGGAAGAAAGGGACACCAAAATCCAAAAAGAAAAAGGCGAGGAAACAACGCATGTAAAATAAACAACAACCAAAATCAAGATGACATTAAAACATAGACAATTTGTATTTTCCAGTGCCTGGCCGGATAAGAAAAGCATAACCTGCAAACTGCCTCCATCACGGTGGCAAAGGCAAGCAATGATGAACGTCTCAGGAGAGCCCTGTTTCGCAAATACCGCGGCAATGTGCACTTTTATATTCTGGCATTCTGAATCTATCTGGAACAATTGCTGACATGTGTTTATAGTTTATTCTGACATTTTATCTGGCACATATTCAGGCATTTGGCCTGGCATGTGGTATTTGTCTGACCTTTTTTGACCTGTGCTTGCCACGTGGACCACCTCGCTGCCAGACTTGTGAGTTTGCACTCCTCATCGACCGAGCAGGACGGAACTCGACCGTCCAAAACAAGCAAAACACATGGTTACGTGGAACCTGGCCCCGACATCCGATGACAATGACCACGCAGTGTTTCTTTCTGCCCCCTGCGTGAGGATGCCAAGGAGTGTACAGAATTAATTAATAAGTGTTCCTTTTGGAGATGACCCAACTGAAATGGGCCGCGCGTCTGCCAGTTGGCACCCTTGCTGGATGCCTGGCGCTTGGCGGTAAGCATGGCTGAGGAGGCGCCGGCGCCTCACATCCCATGCGCCCAAGCTTCCGGACCACAGAACTGAATGCTATTTTTCAGAGACCAACCTATAGTCAATGTCAGTCACTTAGTTAGTCGTTTCTTCGCGTTTTTGTTCTTTTTTTGTGTGTGTGTGTTTTGTTTTGTTTTTTGGGAATGACATGGAGTGACTTAATGAAGAAGGTGTTGTGTTCAGACGATTCCTATGTTTGTTCCACCGCACCGGTTGAACCGCCGGAGGCTTCCGGCTCCTTGGATCTGGAATCCTTGAGCGCCCAGCGGCGGGGTGCCTTTGCGGCCTGGGGAACCCAGGGGTTTTCCGCGCGGGTGACGCGCGGCGCGTCGTAGGTCCGGTGTTCCAACTGAAGAACGAGACACCGCAGGGGCACACAAAAAAACCCAACATTGAATAGTTTATATAGCTGTTAGTTTTGTTTTCACTAGCTAAGCAATTGTTTGGCGTGTGCGGCACCTCTTTATATTTTAACATATATATATATATATTGGGGGTCACGGGACCTGCGTCCTCGCGACGGGCGTGCTGAACCAGGAAAAACACTCATGGCCCCAAGGCAGACTCGGTCCGGCGAAGAGTCTTCCGTCGGTTGTTGGACCATAGGGTTCCAAGTACCTCCGCATAGTATTTGGATCCTCCAAACTCCCCTGTCCCACCTTCGGAAAAGGTACAACTGGAGCCCTAGTGAGGCTTGTTGAACTAGTCTTGGAATTTGGTGAGTTACTGGTCAAAACAGCCTCCATTGAAGACGACATGAATGGGGAGAGCAATCCGCTGGTGGTTTGCATAGCCAGAAAACACTCCAAGCTGGAGTTTGCTTGATGTTCTAATCCGCGTGCTCTGCTCAGAACCTGCTGGAGCGGGCCTCCAATCTGCACGCGGGCGGCTCTCTGACGATGCCGGGCAGACCCAGCGGACGGCAGTGGAGCCTGATGGATCTTGGAATGACGAAGCTGCAAACAGTCCAAGATTTCGTCGATGTTTGTGGTCATTATAAGACATATGCTGGGCAAGAGTTAGATGTTCCTGTGGCACAGTGCAGGTGTTTTGAATCCCAAGAACGGTTGCGAGGCATGGGATTGTAGTGTCGTCCCTGTGTGCAGAGTTGACAGTGCAGGAGTTTGTCTAAAGACCAGAGACTTTGCCCTAGCAATGTGATTCGCTTACTGCTCATTGGCCATTACTCCACATGGTTCCATGCACCCTTTTTACCAGGCGGACGCATGGTAGCGGTCGTCTCCAAACATGCTACAAGCAACTTTGACCCACATCCATAGCAGAACCTTCCGAGTGCCATATACATGTACGATTGCCATGCAACCACCTGGTGGGTTGAACCTCATCGAAGAGAGCTCAATGGCAGAGTTGCACTGGAAAGTATTCCCGCTGAGCAATCGACGACATCCCTCTCACCCCCCCTGAAGACTAACTAACATGGACTCTGAAAACCACTGAGGAAAAGAATCTTTCAGGGTGCCCAAACCACAGGGGGTCCATGATATTCCATGATGAGTTTCCGGGAGTACCAGTGACTATAGCCACCCCGTCTCTACCATCGGCCGGAGACGTTGAGACCGTCTACCGTCGGCCGGAGACGTTGAGCTCGCCTCGTTGGAGAGGAGCAAACCTCGCCCGACCTCTTTGGGCAAACCTCCGACCTCCCAGCATCGGCCCAAGCACCAAGCACCAATCCCACCACCCACAGATCCACCGATCGACGGATCCAGACTGAAAAATCTCAGGCTGGCACTGCTGGAGACGGAGGCACCGGGGGACCGGCGGAGACAGACAAACATAGATCGTCCAAGCCTGGGGAGGGGGTCACCATCGTCCGGGAGCTCAAGCAGTGCGTCAGACCGCTGACTTGCTGTCTGGATCAGATCATCGAAAGACTGCAGGCTTCGAGTGGCCTCATCCTTCTGTGCTGGTTTACCAATTTACCAATTTCTCAATATATTGGCCATGGAAGGCTTTGCCAAGCTCTTCGGTCTGCACATCCATCTCTTGAAATCTTGAAGCTGTCAGTCAGGGACATAGCAACAGGCAAAGTTCGTCCAAACTGTAGAGCGCAAAGTAAGTGAAGTGGACAGCCTCAAGCCCAAGCCTCTGTCAGCGAGCTCCGCCCTGCTTTCACCCCCAGAAGCCTGCACCAAACTTTGCAAGGGTGTTGGCTTCTTTTTTTCTTTGTACTTGCGATTCCACTGGTAACCAACTTGGTGATGATCCTTTACGAGCCATAGATTCGTAGAAGTCTGCGCAGGTGGGAGAATCTTCCCAGGTGCGACCACCTGACTGCCCTGTCGATGGCCTGTCGAGGCTCTAGCAGCCATGGGTGTGAGCAGTGCCGGAAGCCCCGGGTCGTGTGGCGTGTGGTGTGGCGATTTGGACGACGCATGAGATGGCGCTGATGAGATGGATCAGAGGGTCCAACTCTAAAAGTGAAGACTCAACCAGGTTTCTACGATCCTAAGTATAGAATATATATATATATAGACATTATGGTCCAACAAGGACACATCAATGTGACTGACATATCAATATCAACCCTGTTACCTGTTGCTTATGCACGTTTTGTGCTGGAGGATGACCATGGACCATAGAGGGTAAGAACTGATCAGATGCAATCACACATTCTAGGTGGGTCAAATTCTTCCCAACCAAAACGCTTCTGACCGGTGCTTTGTCGTCTGTTTCCGATAAACTATGAGAAAGCCACTCAGGCAGGCTGAGGCATGAACTTGGGAAACCAAGACCATTGATTGACCAGCAATGGAGGGTGTTCCGCTTTGAATTAATTGCATCTCATCACGTGATAGTCATTTTCATGTGATAGTCATTTTGTGGCGTTGACCTTGTCATCACGTGGTCGGCAGGCCGGAGTGGTCGGGAGTAGACATACTCCGTGCGGCTGCCTGGGACTGAAAGAGTGGTGTGAAGACTCTGGGGGAATTCGGTCTGGGGAAACTGCTTTAGGATGGTGCGTTTCCTGGTTTGCATGGCTGGTTTGAGCTTTGGCGTTCAGTCCCCTGCTTCGGACTTGGAAGGCTTCTCAGGCTTCTCTTGCCGCATGGATGGCGTTTCCACTAGGGACCTTGATGGCGTTTGAATTCATGGATCGGTTTCGACAAGGGAACTGAATCCGCTGGGCATCATGATCTTCAGAATTTGAATGATCTTCAACTTGATTTCTCGACATGTTGTGCTTGTCCTTCTACTTGTGTTTTTTTTGGAGTTCTCGGACAAGCAGAGTACTTGAATGGCTTGCGAATTGTTGAAACTTTGGGTTTGAGTGGAACTGGGTTTGGGTGTAGCTCCTTTAAAAAATCCCATTGTTTTCATCCAGTTGTATAGGCACTCAGAAGTATTCTTGCAAGGCTTCCCAAAAGATATTTATGTATTAATTGGAGTGAACATTATGTGTCCTCTTCCAACATAGGTGCCAACACAGAATTGAAAGACCACCATTTTAAAATTGAGTGCATAACTAAGAATGGGATCTGAATAAGAACGGGATTTGCATGGCTGGTGACTACTCAACACTAAGCTGGCTTTATTCAAAGATTTCAGGACGGCGCCGTGCTCAGAAACTATAGCCGTCACATCCAAAAGCATTCTGCATGGGTGTGCATTTATTAGCGAGATCCCCAAACAAATGGGTTTGGTCTATTTCCCTTCTGTCTCCCTGATACACCTCCATCTACTTAATGTAAACTCTTGATTAATCACTCCCGCATACCCCTGCATTTGAATCGAACATTATTTTACGGGGGGTTATACATTCATCAAGAGTCTAGTCTACATTGTTCCTTTATGTTGCGTTTGTTTCCCAAGCTGGATTCTTAGATATTTTTCCACCAGACCATCCAAGCTGAGCCCGGATGACACTCTCCACACCAGGTCGTCCAGCTATTCAATCGAGGAGTTCGGCGACCGCAGGCGGGTGATGTGACAGCTTCGGACGGGTGAAGATGATCCTTGAAGGGCCCCACAGGCGGGGCGTTCCTTGGGGGAAATGTGAACGGATGTATGATGTACCTGTATATAAGTGCATGTACATCATGTAACGTATTAAACAATCTATATGGTGACAGCATCGCTCATAGTTGCATTCCAGGGTGCCTTCGGTCACGCCGATCCTACCGTCAGCGGCAGCTCAAGCCGTTCGCAGCTGGGCAGCCTAACCGACCTCGGTCGGCTCGTGGGAGCATGCGAACTCTCACCTGGACCGCCGTCGTCGTTTTAGCAGCTGCAAACTGGGAAGAGGAGTGCCAAAGTGAAGAAGTGGACGTGTGGCCTGAGGGCTTTGTGGCTTGGTATGCGAAGAACACCAACATGTGGTGCCTTTTTTTCGTTGGTAGAACTGGCAAAGTATCCATTTTGGACCTACAAAAAGGTAGGAAACCATATGCCATAGTAGGAGCTCAGAGTTTCTGGGGGGCATGTTTAAAGAATTTAAAGGCTCGTCGTTTCAGTTTTCTTTCACCTCTTTCGTGACACCCGATCTTGGAGACCCGATGGGTCGCCCCTCAAGCCCGCCCGCGTGGGGCGGCTGAGCAGTGGAGTGGTTGGGTCACCTCTTCCCTCAGGTCGTCCAGATTTCTCCCAAAGATGGTGTGGCCTTGGACTCGGCGTGGTGCCATGGCTGAGCACCGGAGACAGCGGTCGGAAGTCGATCGAAGCGAAATCGCAAGCAGCCATAGAGAACGCCAAGCTATGATTTAATCCCTCAGACGATTAGATTGCGAGAGTTGATGAATATTGAGTTTCCTCAGTTGCAAGGTGGTGTGCAAAGCAACTGTTGCCAAATGATACCCAAAAACAAGGTGACATAACGCATGGTATTATAGGTACATGGCCACCCAAACCAATGGATCCACATTTTAAGAAACATATTCCATGTATTCTTCTTTCCGTTGGCAGCACCAAGCAGGAAACCAACCGGGCTCCTACCCCATGTGGAAACCAGAACCGGTGTGCTGACTACGGTGCGGTTCGCCTCTCCGGGCGTTCCAGGCTTCGGAACTGGACCCAGGAGAAGAAAGAGTGTCTCAAGAAGCTCAGCAGCGAGTTCCGGCGGCCGGTTGCGTCGTGCGTCGTGCGACGGTTTGTTTCGGCCGTTCGTTTCGTGTGTTGTGTGACGCTGAGGGCCGTGGTTTGTTCTAAAAAAAACCGGTGGGGTCTACGCGGTTGGAGGGTCGGGGTTCGGTAGGTGTTAAGGCTGGGTTTCTTGTCCTTGTTGTTGTTGTGCTTGGTGTTGGCTGTGGTTGTCGTATGTTGTCGTGGTTGTTGTTGCTGTTGTTCTATTCTTTTTGACCCGGTAATGTTGAGTGAACGACGAGACCAGCTGCAGGTCAGCTCGCAATGACGGTTTCATCACATTTCACACGGATTGTTGCTAATACATGAACACATATTACCAAACATTGTGTTGTGTTAGAATCTTCGACGTTTTTGGAGCCAAAATCTAAAGCATATCATCGTACAAAAAAGAAAACTCACTCCCACCGAGGAGTGCCTTCTTCGAGCACGGGGTGCTGCTCTTCCGGGGCTTTGCAATACCCGACGCCAGAGCTTTTGAGGAGGCGCGGAGAAACTCTCCGATGCATGATGGATTGGATGGAGGATTTGACTTGTCATGTTTTTAGAGTTGTTTGGATGGATGATTCATGGATTTTGTTGCTGCGTTTTGTTGCTCTTGGCAGATGTTTGGATCCGGGAAAGGATTTGGCGGATGTTGGGATTGGATTCCCCAATATTTGTCATTGATGATCTTGTGGAGCAGGCATGAGCAAGCAATGACGTTCAACTGTTCCTTGTTTGGGGGGAGAGTGCCTTAAAACATGGGGCATGGTCTTGCGTGTCAAACACTCTGCAGGCTATCTACGGATCTGGAGATTCCTCCAATGGGAGCTCAGTCCTAGACATTTCATGGGGCTATACATATAAAAAATAAATATTTATATATATATATATATTAAAGATAGTTCAGTATTTTTTGATTTTCACGCTTGAAAATGTCTGAGACCGTAAGCAACTTCATTTCAGTATGTTGTTCTAAAAACGAAAGACCTGTTCCGAACCCCCCTAGTTCTGGTCTTCCTTCCCATGGGGCTCCACTCAATCACCCAAACCTGACCGAGCTGTACGCGTACCGAGCTGTGCAGGTCGCCTTAGCCTTCGTACCGAATTTGGAGAAGGCCTATTTGGGCGGCTCGGAAGGACAAGCAATGGGAGCGAAGAAAGGGGTTTTCGTGGACCATGCCAACAAAGTGGGGTGTTCAAGAAAAAACAATAGGTTGGAAACGGGTCATGTTGTTGCTTGTTGTTGTTGTTGTTGTTGTTGTTGTTGTTGTTGCTTGTAGCTTGTTGCTTGTTGTTGTTGTTGTTTTAATGGCGTTGTAACCTTGGTGGTGAAAACTAATATATAACTATACTCCTTCCATCCCTTTCAGAACAAGTCTTGAAGGGTCATAGGAGATGTATTATCCACCACTCTGCAGAACAGGTGCAAACATGAAAGGCACACTCCATCGACCGATGGTTCACCGCTACGCAGCAGCGGAGAGCGAAGGTGTCACAGCACACCTTCGCTCGAAAGAAAATACCTTCCGACGGAAAGTTCGGTTACAGTGGTTTCAGAGATGGCACTGGCACCCCAAGATGTCTTTTAGATGGGGATCCATATAAACCACCTTTTGGATCCTTTTGGGGATTGTGCCATTTACTCTCAATCCACTAAGCCTTTAGAACTGTCCTTTCCAGTCAGTCCGTCCCTTTGCCTCGCTGCAGCACACTGCAGTTCGATCACCGAAGGTCGGTCGGGCGCCCCAAGGCACCTCTCCTCGGAGCCAGATCAACGGCACGAGCTACGTCTTCACCGCGGCGGACTTCCAGCCGCGCCCCGGTCGGTGTCCGGCTGGGATTGGGGTTCTGACCCAGGTGGAACTAGAGTTTGGTGCTTGGAAGATCAATGTTTGTTTGGAAACTGTTCTTTGTTTTGGCAGCTAGGGACTAAATCATTGGAAAGCACCCAAGCTGGTGAGTAGTGACCATGGTGTAAACTTGGGGTTTCTTTCAGGTATGTTCTTGGGCCCTCACGTTGGGTCACTTGGTGATGGACACGGCTCATGGCGACGGACATGTGTGCTGATCGGCAAACGGAATGAATCGTTTCCCTCATGTTTTGTTGGCTCGTTCCTTTCCCTCACCAGTCGGTGGCTGTTGCGACTCGTTCCGACAATCCAAACACGCACATGGTGAGATATTTGATAATTGACAGCTTGCTTAATGTGTGTTTGCCGTTCAAGACAAGCAGTTTGTGACTCTTCTTCCGCGCAAGGCAACATAGATGCAATATGATGCAATATTATAGCGTACACCGTACACCCTTATTCTTTTCAGCTGAGCAGGATGTAGAAGTTGTTTGCTCATACAAGTCAGATGACGGTGGGGCTAGATTTGTGAAAGAGCATGGATGGCCCTCGGACATGTTTCACTGTTGTCGCCGCAGGCGCCTTGAGCATCTGGCTTCGAGCCAAACAGTGTGCGAGCGTTCTTTACCCCTTTGTTTAGGTGTAGTTGAACCTCCGCTGTTTAACAGTGGCAGCGGAGCTGTCGACCCTCGTGCCATAGCGCTGCCCTGCGGACTTCGCTAGTGCTACTTCGTCTTCTTCGTGCTGACGGTCTTTGCTTTGGCCTGCTGGCCTCAACTTCCTGGTGTTGGGCGGTCTGCCCGACTTGGCCGTGTTGACCCGGCTTTGGACAACTTCGACTTCGTGGTCTGGACTACGTCTGAACTACAACGTGGACGACCTGGACACGGACTTCCTGGTGGCGTAAAGCCTCTCCCTTTTGAGGGATTGAAGGTTGCCTGGTGGCGGACCACTTCAACGTGGACTTGGAGACGGAGGAGATGAGTGATGAGAAGAAGGATGACCGAGGCTTTGACAGCTACATACCGGTCTGGGATGGACGGAGCGAGACGCTTCGAGAGTTCAAGAAATCCGTCCAATGGTGGTTGCACTCAATCGACCTCGAGAAGACCACTTCCTACAACCTGGCTGCCCGCTTTGCTATGAGGCAGAAAGGAAGTGCAAAGCTACGTGCGCTGGAGTTCGACCCAAAGGAGCTTGAATACACTCCAGCTGAGAAGGTGAAGGATGATGAGACCGATGAGATGATCGAGATCTCACCAGCGGTCTACGACGCCGGAATCCAGAAGATCCTGGCCTCCTGGGACGACATGGTTGGGAGGTCACAGACTGACCGCAAGGGTGAGCTTCGGGAGAAGTACTACCTGCAGCTTCGTCGTGGTGGCAGTGAGAGTGTACCGAACTTCGCTTTACGGTACAGGACCCTGATCGGCGAGATGAAGGCCGAAGGAATCACTGTGGACCCCAGCGAGCAGGCATGGTTCTTCAAGCAGAAGCTGGCCCTCTCCGAACTTCAACGACAAATGTTGGAGACCACCCTTGGCGTCGAGACCGAGGACTATGGAGCCTGCGAACGAGAGGCAGTTCGTCTCTTCAAGAGAGTCCATTTTGGACCTGGCCATGGACACGGAAGCCAACACCGCGAAGGCGGACATGGGAGCTTCGTTAAACGACCTCCTTCCTTGACGGCTTCGACCTTGTCCAAGTTTCGCAGGAGTTTCCCTTCGACTACATCGTCTTCTACCTCTTCATGGCGGCGTGGTGGAAAAGGCTTTGGTGGTTCGGTCAACGTCACTGAGTATGATGATGAGGTGACGGCTGAGAACGAGGCCTTTGAAGCCGAAGGAGAACCTGCAGCTGAAGAGGATGACGGTGGAGCAACAGATGCAGAAAGCCTAGCTGGCTTTGAAGGACTTCAACAGACCATTGAGGCCCTGGCGACAGAGATAGATGAGTTGGCTGATGGTTCACAAGGCGATGATGACCTTGCAGCCATTGAAGAGCAAGTGGAAGGTGCAGTTGAGGCATTGGTGACCCTTCGTGAAGCGAGGACGCAAATCAATGCCCTCAAGCGAGATCGTGGTTTTCGTGGACCTGGTTCGACTGGCTTCAAAGGAGGCAAAGGTCGTGGCAAGAAAGGTTCAGGCTCAGGCCAAAAGGATGGCAAGTGCTTTGCTTGTGGTCAAGCTGGTCACTGGCAAGGTGATGCTGAATGCCCTGCAGCAGGCAAGAGCATTGGCAAAGGAACGACTCCCAAGTTTCCAAGACCGATGCAGAAGCCTGGAACTTCATCGTCGACTACCTCACCAAAGTCTTCAAACTACAGGAGTGAAGCTCACACTGCTGAGGTGAATGTGGTTGACCTGTTGGCAGGAGCTCAAAATGTTTCCTTTGACTTGGAGCCCACCATCCACGAGATCAATGTGGTTTCTTCCTTGTCTGAGGCTCTTTCGACAAGCACAGCCAGTGCAGTGGGCCTTGACCCTGACAAGCTCTTTGTGGCGGCTTTGGACTCCGCATGCAATCGGAGTTGCGCCGGAGCTGAGTGGCTGGCTCACATGAAGGATGCCTTGGAAAAAGCCCCTGAACACATCAGGAGCTTGGTTGATGAGAAGCCTTGCCGAGACTACTTCAGGTTTGGCAATGGCGGTGTCTTAGAAAGCCTAAGAAGGCTGAGGATTCCTGTCCTGGTGCAAAATCAAGTGGTCCTCCTCTGGTTGGCGGAGATCCCATGTGCTTCATTGGGGTGCTTGCTTGGGAAGGACTTCTTAGAGAGCTTAGGGGCGACTTTGGACTTTCCCTCCAAGAAGGTGCAACTGAGGTATGTCAGTGATGGTTGGATTCCCCTGAGCAAGATGAGGGCAGGACACTTTTCCATGAACCTTCTCCCCAAGCCCCTCTCTTCGTGGCCGACGCTCACTTCGCAGTCTTGGCATGTCGTAGGAGTTGGAGGTTGTTGTGAGGTTCAATGTGAAGGTCGAATGTCATGAAAGCTCGCAATCGTCTTTTCGACCGTTCGAGTGATGCTGATGGTGACTTGAACATGGTTGTGCACTACATCCCGGAGTTCTTCAGCTCAAGCAAGGCCTGGATGCCTGAGGAAGATGCTGCCCAGCCCTTTCGACGTCCTCACCCCGGTGGTGTCGCGATGGCAGCGCTTCATACTTCGACTACAGGCGAGGAGAACATGGCATTGGAAGGGCGTGATGCTTTGGCTGGTTCAACGACCTTTCCTTCGCTACATGCCAGTGCCCTTGCCAGTGGTGACCACTTCGGAGGAGTGGAAAGCTCAGCTGAAGGACATGGTGAAGCGGCATGTGTGGCCGAAGCGCTGGCAACCGAAGGCGATGGAGTACATGTCCCTGGTCCACCTCAACGAGGCCAAGGTTCTTCGGCAGAGGATGGGACTGGAGGAAGCCTTCATGGAGGACGAGGCGGTGATGTTCGGAATCAAGGCTCTGAAGAAGCCAACCCGAGCTCGCCAACAAGCCGCGCTAGTTCAGGCAACTCACCAAGCCATCGCAGAGCTGGATGGCCGGAAAGAAGATCTCGCCCGGGAGCTTCTCGGACCCCGAGGAGGAATGCCCCGGACGAAGGCAGACCTGGTGAAGTTGGCGGTGCTGTTGAACGTGGTCGTGGATCCCAAGGACACCATCGAGCAGCTGAAGGTGAAGATCAAGCCGCTAGTGGACGCAGTGATGGGGAAAGCCCATGGCTCCAGCCCACAGGCGAGCCAGAAACAAGACGGCGTCGACGACCCCGGACGCCACAGTCAGCTTGGGACCACAACAGCAGCAGCAGCACTAACAGGACAAACTGCAGCAGTCCCGACTGCGGTTCCTCCTCACCCAGTGCCCTGGGGACTCCAGATGAGCCCGGATGGGCAGGGCCACTTCGCCCTCTTCAACCCCCAGACCCGTTCAGCTCAGGACGGTTGGGTACTCACTCCTCAGTTCTACCAGCTGAACGAGACCGACGATCAGATGCTGTAAGGCTCTCAGTTGGCACCCTGAGGAAGGCTGCATTCAAGGACATGAAGAGTGGTGCACGTCTAGCTGTTCGTGATGCAGTGATGAAAGCCCGTCGAATGCGAGAGAAGATGGGAGCCCCCGTGAGCTATGGCAATGAGGTCATGGAGGCGGAGTATGTCGACTTCATCGACCAGGTGGCCAGTGGCAAGCAGTCTGAGGTCTTCATGGCGGACTTGCACATGCCGGAGCTGCCTGCAAGTCGCTTCGAGTGCATTCGACTTCCTCTTTCAGGACTTCGAGAACCTCTCAGAAGCCCAAGCAGACTCCATCGTCGACTAACGGATGAGTGGCGTTTTGGCCACATCAATGGATGGATCTGCAGGGACCACTATGCCCCTCGGAGGATATTGTACACTCCGTCGACGGCAACGGCACCAAGGTTCTTTCCCTATGAGGCCTTCACTGGACAGCGAAGGTCGGTGTTCTGTGATGAGGAGGGCAACATCAACTTCGTCAGGACGGACAACTTCAAGGACAGCTGGAACACACAGAGCCATGTGCATAGTCAGATGCCGGTTCAAGGTGAGACTTGGCTTGAGGTGACACAGGAGTGGATTGAAAGCCAATACCCCCCTTGGTCTTGGGAGCAGTTCAGCTTTCCAATTCGAACTGCCGTGATGCTTGGTCAACAAGGCTCTCATGATTGCCGGAATGGGGACAAGTTCTTTGTCGGCTTTGACACCATGAGCCAGAAGGGCATGCTGCCTTTGGATGGATCTGTGCCGATTTCTTCCTGGATCCGAACTGCCGAGGATGGCTGGATGATGTTGGAAGACCGAGTGCTTCATCGAGATCGAGCTGGACACCGACTGCCCCATGGAAGCTTGATCAAGTCAGTTGAGGTCTATGTCCAACTACATCATAACACCCTTCGTGACGATCCTCACAGGTACCCCATCGTCGGTGAGCTCTACACAGAGACTGAGCCTGTCT